GCGGCCCAGACGTGTATTAGTGTATAGTAAATATATCATTATAGCATATACTACACAGTAAAATTTGTAATGAATTTTATATTTTAAAATCATATTTACTTGCCTACTTTGATTGTATGTGATCGTCTTTTATTTCTGAGCGACTTTACATTCGATGCCTGCGACTGTCTTCATAGGTGATAGTATTGAAATACTATCAACTATGAAGACAGTCGCAGGCATCGAATGTAAAGTCGCTCAGAAATAAAAGACGATCACATACAATCAAAGTAGGCAAGTAAATATGATTTTAAAATATAAAATTCATTACAAATTTTACTGTGTAGTATATTCTATAATGATATATTTACTATACACTATTAATACACGTCTGGGCCGCCTGTGGTCCCATTTGAGAATATCTGAATTTATAAAATGATGTTACTGTAAATTAATGAGAAAAAGTTGCTGTTATACAGTGTGAAGATAAAGATATTCATCCGAATTCCAAGTATGATTATATAAACAATTAAATTAATTTGTAAAACGGGTAAATAGATTTCTCTTATTTTATCCATGTATACATGGTCTGCTAGTAAAGAAAAAACAGCTAGTTGCCAAAGACTCAGAACAATGTTTGAGCTGAACATATTATGATCTAGCCATTGGAATGATTCTCCAGATTGATTCACAAGGGGCATGGGGCATATTTCATGATTTGCTACCTGAATTGTCCACATGGTTTACAAGCACATACTGGATATAAATATTAGTTATACAGTATCAAATGTAGATGCCCAAAAATTAAATCCTGAAAATTTAATAGACTGTACATATACTTTTTGAGATATGTAACAAGGGGATGTTTATGTGGGGGCGAGGCTGGATGCCCGGGGTTAGGGGCTACAGACTTAAGCTCACTTTTCCAGAGGCAAGATCTCGGGCTAAAGGGGTGGGATCTCACTTAGCTACAGCTGGGCCCGCTCTTTACCTATATATACACAAGGTGAACTTTTAGTATAAAGGCAGGATCTTGCCAAAACTGGGCCAGTTTGGGTACCCTGGGGTTGGCTTGCAGTTGCACCATATAAACAGCTCCTATATATATTAGGCAGTATATATTTTGTCTGGTAATTGGAGTCTTTGGAGATTTTGTGTGTAAATGAATATAAAAATGACCCTTTACAGGTGGGTTGAGGGGGGTGTTTATGTCAACATTTTGGAAAGCAATAATATTTTATTAAAAAATTAGAATAATCACATATTAAACTCTGATTGTAGTTTATATTGTATTGTGTGTGATTAAAGTAAGGTTATTTTTTTTTACCCCACCTCTGCATGCAAAGATTTTTTGGCCACCCCACCTAAAGCAAGTATTATTTTTCAGTTACCCCACCATTTTCTCTTCGGCCCCCACCCCTGCCATAAATAATGACCGGTCCCTAAAAAGAGTATATTTATAATTTTTTATGATATTTCCTGAATATTCTGAAAATTTGATAAAAATCGGGAGACCGGGAGATTGCATGAATTTTCGGGAGACTCCCGGTAAAATCGGGAGAGTTGGAATGTCTGCCGATTGCTCTGTGAGAAATTATGACAAAATTTGCTAATAATAGTTTTACATATTTTAGTAGTTAGTTGGGAATGTAATTGCATTGCTGAAAATGAAAACATGACAATTAATTTAGAAGCTCGGATCAATGGACTGTTGAATTGTCTGAAATAATACAGTAAGGCAAAAATAATACAGTGAGGCACATCAAAACACATTGCCACTTGAAGGGTTAAGTATGGGTATATGATATTTTGTGGTATAATGTATCATGATAATAATGTCGTCTTTTTTTGCAGAAATGATCTGTTTAATATACAAAAAGAGATGGCACAGGCATCAACATCTGAAGAACATGCAGAACAATTACAAAATGAAGTTATAATTACAATACCATGCATAACAATTAATTATAATTAATAAATAATTATATGATTATCATGATTTTATTGAAGTGTAAATAAGTTTTATAGCAATTAAAATTATACATTTTTGTTTTTTAAATTGTTTACTGCTAATAATTTTACAAAAAGTCAAGTACATCCTTCCAGAATGTGTATGTACTTTGCCTATGGAGCCTTGTTTTCATGAATGTGGCATGAGTTTTAGTCCAATGTCTCAATCATGAAAATGACTCTACAGCCTATAGCCAAGGTGACATAATTTCTGGAAGCATGTAAAATACAGTATGTTCAGTTTCCAAAAATGTGGCTTGGTACTGTATTTTGCCACTCACAAAGAAGTGTGTCATTGTGGAATAAATCTGCAATAAAAAAGAATAGATTAATTATACAGGTTGTACAAGAATCCACCAGTAACATAATTATAGCACATGATCATTGAGGTAAACAAAAGAATGTGACCTAACATGGGCGTACCGGAAGGAAAAATTTAGGGGGGCGGAAAGAAATTTGCCCGACTGTTCTGGAGTTTGCCCGACAAGTACCGAAAAAAATTTTTCCCGGAAATTAGTTTGGCGACCTCCCCCCCCCCCTTTGGTACAAGGGTACACTTTGGTCAGTGTACCATTTTAGGGGTCAAAATTTTTTTCCGGACATACCAAAATTTTTCGGAACTTAACAAAATTTTTCCAAACATCACGAAATTGATCACAAAATCTACAGAATTTGTCCCATTTTTTTAATAATAAACCAGAATTGCCCGACTGTTCAGCGAATATTGCCCGACTGCCCAAAAAACTGGGGTGCCCCCCACCCCCCGCCCGGTACGCCCATGTGACCTAACATACTCCTCAGCTTAAACCAGGGGTATCAGAACTATGAGTGAACTTATAAAGTACATTGTTTATTCACAGTGATATTTACTGAGAAAACTTGTAAGAAAACAGGCCATCCTGGGAATGAGGTGTGATCATGTTGTAATGCCTTGGCACACACCTCAGCTAAACCTTATTACCTCAGCTTAGGGAAAAGTGTGATTTATCTCAAGCCTCTATATTACTATTTATATGACACAAAAATCAAGAAGTATCCCCAACCATGCAAAAAAGCTAGGTAGAAACCACCTTCCCAGATCAGCTTGACAGCTTCCAGCACCCCCAGCTTATACATAAAATTAAGTGGTGCATAACACAAAACCTAAGTTCCCTCTTTTAAAAGATAGTCTGATAGTAGATGTCAAATAAGATATAAAAGTCTAAATAAAATTGAATATGAAAACACGTTTTTTACCTTTGTAAATCCGAGTGTAAATCCATATATTTCAAGTATCGTCTTTTCCCACATTTCTTGAGTTTTTAAAATTAGTTTGTCGTCTTTCACGGGCGAGATTAAACACATACGACTTGGATATCTTTGACCAAATGGTCAAAGGCAGAAAGTTTATCTCGAAAACATTTTAAAAAAGGATTCAAAACAACGAGAAGTCGAGAACTATATTATCTGCAAAAATGTTTTGCAAAAACCAGGGGGGGGGTAAAAACGGCCGTGGGCTCAGAATTGAGCCTGGTCAGTGGTACCTACCATGAAAATAAAGTAAGTGTTGTCATGGAAATGGCGTCATTTTCACTCAAAATCCGCCATGTTTTTGCGGACACTTTGTTGACTGAACGAAGTATAGGAGCAGGTCCTCCAGTTATTATACAGCTCAGTGGTGGTAGCCCGTGGGTAGCCCGTCGTTTTTGTTGGGATTTATATTAGTAGCCCGTAGCCCGTAAAATCTTAGGAAAACTAATTTCACTCGACACTTAGAAAAATTTCGATGCCGGGCTACAGCAGGTACACGTTCAAATGTTGGAAAAAACTTTTTTCACTCCACATGCCCAATTTTTTACAAGAGCACAATCCTCACATTTTATTTAACCCTTTATAGAAATCTAAAGTTAGTTTATTGAAAATGTTCATGATTTAGGTAGCTTTTAACGCCACATACCAATACAAACTAATCTCAATTGCGCTTCAAGGGATTCTAATATAAGTTTTCAAGATTTACTGAAAAGTGTATATGTGGGCTAGGACAATTATAGAGCCCGAAAGCTGTTAAGTGGCAGTCCCGCTAAGAGCGGTCCGATGACTTTGACTTCGGAAAATAGATTTCCTTTATTTTTTGTGTGTTGAAAGGCATTGGTATACAAGTGTCCAAAATAAATTTATTTTTTGAAAATTCTTTTTTATGGCTTCGCTAGACGCCGAAACTCATTTTACCCGTGCAGAGCTAATTTCAAGCAAAATCGAAGGTTGAATTTCGGTAAACTGTAGAGCCGCGCTGTGTCAAAACGCCTGACTATTTCCAAATTTCAACTAGATCAACAAGTTAAGATACAATTCAGGTTCTCTGTTCCAAAAAATAAGAGCATTTGAATAAATTGTGAATAAACGACAGCGACTTGACGGCACACCGGTTTTTGCTTCTTGTTCGGTCTACAAAATTACACTAAAATCGAAGCCTGAGATCTCCAAATGGGGACCTAAAATTACGCTGAAATGTGCTTGGCTGTAATGATTTATACTTATTTTCAGAAGATCTGAAGAAAAACCTGCGGGTATCAATCTGTATTTGGCGCGAGTTAAGATTTTCTGGAGCCCATAATCAATGATTTTTGCATAATTTATAGCTAATTAACATATTTCTTGAGAGGCGCTAAAAGTAAACAATTTCTTTCTGACTAACATATCTCAGATGAAAGAAACTACCACAGCTAGTAATACCCTTTTTGTAAATATAGTCGTAATGTTCTTTTCCTGACACGCTGAGAGAGCTTTGTTTTTTAATGTTATACCACATTTATTCAGTCTGACCAGATTCATATAAATGTCACGAACTTGTATATTTCAAAAATATACCAGAAATCAGAATTCAGAAAGACCGATTATTCTTTCATTGATTCAGTTGATTGATTTAGTTGATTGATTTAAAAAACTATAAGTATAATGGAACATCCACGTGTTTCCATTGCCCCTATATACATAGGCGTACGAGAAGCAAAAAATTGGGGGGGGGGGCAGAAAGAAATTTGCCCGACTTTTTCGGATTGTGCCCGACTAGTGGCGAAAAAATTTTTTTCCGGAAAATTTTTTTTGGCGAGCTCCCCCCCGTCACGAAAAAAATTTCGGTCAGTGTGCCATTTTACGGGTCAAAAATTTTTTTCGGACATACCAAAATTTTTCGGAACCTCAAACAAACTTTCCCAAAAATCGAAAAATTGACATATTTCCAACAAATTTTACAGAATTTTCCCCATTTATTTTTATAAAAACCAAATACTGCCCGACTGTGAAGCGAAAATTGCCCAACTGGCTTTGTTTGCCAAACAAACTGGGGTTATTATTAAGAGAGATTTTCTTGTTTTGACTACTTTTTGCCCGACTTTTGCCCGACTTTTGCTGAACATTTGCCCGACTTTTCGACTTTCTAATCCTGTTGGGGGGGGGGGAGCTGCCCCCCCCTCCCCGCCCCGTACGCCCATGCCTATATAGGCCTAGAATTTTTATCAATATGTTCTATTTTTCTGTGGCGACGGCATATTAACAAAATACGACACAAAAATGTACATTCGAATTTATGACCGACATATCAGAATGTTATTTATGAAGTTTGAATTGAATTTACTTAACGCGAAATAAATACTAAAATAGGAATTTTCTATGCCGGGTTAGTAAAAGAAAAAGCATAATTTTAATTGTATGTAATTTCGATGAATACTATAAAAAAAATTATACGCATTGTTTATATAAATTAGCTAACATTTTTAACAAAAATATCAATTTTATAAATAATCGAATTTCAATATTTTTCTTTGAAAAAAAATATATTCGTGAGCTCCATAGCTGAGAATAAATTTCAAAAGTTTGTGAATTAAAATTCACAAGACACAAGTTTGATATTTTTGTTAAATAACTGATCAGAATGTTTATAGTTTATTTTGTTACATGGCTAAAACAAACGTCGCTACTATCGTAATAAATGTGTAAATGTTAGCTAATTTATATAAACAATGCGTATAATTTGTTTTATAGTATTCATCGAAATTACATACAATTAAAATTATGCTTTTTCTTTTACTAACCCAGCATAGAAAATTCCTATTTTAGTATTTATTTCGCGTTAAGTAAATTCAATTCAAACTTCATAAATAACATTCTGATATGTCGGTCATAAATTCGAATGTACATTTTTGTGTCGTATTTTGTTAATATGCCGTCGCCACAGAAAAATAGAACATATTGATAAAAATTCTAGCCCTATATAGGGGCAATGGAAACACATGGAATGTTCTATTATACTTATAGTTTTTTTAATCAATCAACTAAATCCATCAACTGAATCAAGGAAAGAATAATCGGTCTTTCTGAATTCTGATTTCTGGTACTGATATTTTTGAAATATACAAGTTCGTGACATTTATGAATCTGGTCAGACTGAATAAATGTGGCATAACATTCAAAAACAAAGCTCTCTCAGCGTGTCAGGAAAAGAACATTACGACTATATTTACAAAAAGGGTATTACTAGCTGTGGTAGTTTCTTTCATCTGAGATATGTTAGTCAGAAAGAAATTGTTTACTTTTAGCGCCTCTCAAGAAATATGTTAATTAGCTATAAATTATGCAAAAATCATTGATTATGGGCTCCAGAAAATCTTAACTCGCGCCAAATACAGATTGATACCCGCAGGTTTTTCTTCAGATCTTCTGAAAATAAGTATAAATCATTACAGCCAAGCACATTTCAGCGTAATTTTAGGTCCCCATTTGGAGATCTCAGGCTTCGATTTTAGTGTAATTTTGTAGACCGAACAAGAAGCAAAAACCGGTGTGCCGTCAAGTCGCTGTCGTTTATTCACAATTTATTCAAATGCTCTTATTTTTTGAAACAGATAACCTGAATTGTATCTTAACTTGTTGATCTAGTTGAAATTTGGAAATAGTCAGGCGTTTTGCCACAGCGCGGCTCTACAATTTACCGAAATTCAACCTTCGATTTTGCTTGAAATTAGCTCTGCACGGGTAAAATGAGTTTCGGCGTCTAGCGAAGCCATAAAAAAGAATTTTCAAAAAATAAATTTATTTTGGACACTTGTATACCAATGCCTTTCAACACACAAAAAATAAAGGAAATCTATTTTCCGAAGTCAAAGTCATCGGACCGCTCTTAGCGGGACTGCCACTTAAGTAATGGCATAGCTTTATGTCTTTGATACATTTACCTTGAAAACGTATTGTACGGTGCAACAATAAAGCCTAGTTTCCATTTGGTCGTTAGTTGTCGCTGGCACGACAAGTGGCTGATGTAATAGAGTGTCAACAAAACTTTACAAAACTCTGCAATCATTAAGACGATTTGCATATAACACACAAAAAGACTATTTCACATCTACCGCTTGTCGTGCCAGCGACAACTAACGACCAAATGGAAACTAGGCTTAAGCGTTATGCACGAATGAGTTTATGTAAAGTACAACGTCTGATTGTGCGTTATAAGCAGCCACTTAGTCGGTGTTGTTTATTTTTTAATGCCACGTCAACATGCTGGAACGGTGGATTGGAAATTGATTGATGGAGCATTTGACAAACCAAGAAGACTCCATTTTCAACAAGACAAGAATCACTTATGTCGTTGTCCTGTAAATGGATGCGAACACCCTGGATTTAGCAGTTGTCGCGGTTGCAGGAAGCATGTTTACAAAAAGCACGATTGGTATAAATATTTCGATCAAAAACCTATTGTTATTTGAAATACTGTCAAAGAAATTCAATGTCTTGAAATATTGTCAAATGAAATACAATTCCTTGTTGTTCTACGGAAAATGAGTTATGTCGTTCCCTTTCGGTGTGGTTGCAAAGTACGGCTGGGGGCGGCAAGTCTGAAAAGCAATCACAAATTTCAGTGACAATGGCTCTCAAGTTTATAACATTTTGTTGTTCTGAAACGGGCGAGGACGAATTTAATGCGACTTCCTCTTTAGAAATTATAGATTATTTTCTTGGTTCTTCGAAGTTGTTAACGGGTTTCCTTGATTATCTTCAGGGTACTTGGAAAATGGGAAATTCCGGCCAATTAAGTTACATAACAAGCATATCTGAGCTGTTAGATTTTCGAAAGTTTAACTCTCCCTCCGGCGCCGTACTGCAAAATTTCTCTGTTACTGAAGTTTACATCAAGAGAGCAAAGAAATGTTTGTCAAAAGTAATGAGGTCGCACCGGACGACAGATCTTGACATAGAAACACTTGAATCAAGACGGAGTTGGGCAAGCTTATAGCCGAACTCCAAACTGTAATACCCTTCCATATACCACGTTTTAAGATTATATTGGACGAATGCAAAAACAAATCACCTGTTGTTAGCGCAACGAATCTTACATTTGCTACCCGATTCCTAGCAGTATTTATGTTTTTAAAGTTAAAGGCTGTAGGCCTATGACGTATCTGCATTTGACGGTTAGCATGTTTGAGAGTGCAAAACGAAATAAAGGAATGGTCGATCAAACCACATTCAAAACTGCCAAAAAGTATGGCTTTGATTCCTTATATTTTGACGAAATTAGTTTGGATGTTGTTGACAATTACGTTCGCTATGTTAGGCCATTGCTGCAACCAAGGTGCGACTATTTGCTCGTCAAATCGTAATTTTAAGTATATTAGTCTTTCAGGCAATCGGAAAATACGTTCATCCCACAAGATACAGGCAAATCATTGAAACTGAAAGTGTGCAAATCCTCAATGTAGAGGAGCAGAAGTTGGTTTCTGAAGATCAAAAACACAGTTCGAATGTCCTCCGAGTCCATTATCAGAAATTGCGTTCTCGAGATGTAGCTATCAAAGGGCGAACATGTATGGAAAAATTGCGTGGCTTACAAGGAGCAGAAATGGACACTTGCGTTGAACAGTTAAAACAAGAACATTGTTCCGAACACAAATCAAAAAGTGATAACGAAACCACTCCCATACCGCAAACAACGACAGAAAAGGTTTCTGCCGAGAAACAAAAAACCCCTGAGATTCACGAAAGAAGAGGATCAATTTATAGAAAGGGGAATTAAAAGATTTGGTGCACGATGGTGCACAATCCTACGACATCCAGATTATATAACTTCCAACCTGGTAGAAAAGCTAGGACACTTAGACTTCGTGCAATTCAACAAAAACTTATCTAGTGTATTTCACTCATGTACCTTGTAAATATAAATTTGCTTTGTAAATAGTTGAATATAATTTGTGAAGTTCTATTCCTTATTTATTTATTTCTTAAACGATTCCACGCAAAACTAATGCATTCTCGGTTGCCTTGTTTTCTATTCCTGCGACTATAACACGTATAATATGTTTGCTTGGAAAATAGTTGATCAGTCTAATTTATAAATCATGTTGAAGCATAAAGTTTTCAGAAACCGCAAACCCATTTAAGGTATAATCTCTTTCATATACAACAGTGCAATTCTCGTCAATATATAATATACTTCATGGAGAACAACACAATATATTACTGCTCTTCACTATGTTATAATGGTTAGTATCGACATCGATTGAAATATCTTCATACAATACCGATCAAATAATCGAAAACTGACTTTGCTGAGGAAAGGTTGCATGCTAATTATTGGCCGAAACTTTTGGGTTTAGTTCCGAAAATAGGAACGTATATTCTTGTTCCTATCTCGCGTTATATTGCAACTTAAAACTTTAGTTCCGAAAATAGGAACGCGTTTTCGTTCCTTTCTCGTGCAACGGAACGAATGGTTCCTAAAGTGTAAAAAGGTTTTGTGACTGTAGTTCCCAGTCCCGGTAACCCAAACCATTTTTCCTTGTCCAAAAATAGACAAATTCCAGTTCCCATTCTATCCCGTCAAAACCCACTTACAGATATATACTAAAAAAGACTTACTTTGCAAAATTGTCATACGGATACTCATCATTTGCTTCTCCAGAATGAAAACCTACAACTGGTAAGTCGCTGAATCCGGCAAAATTTGGATACTGGTTTCTAGAAAACGCAAGAAGCGATCATAAGTTAGATTGGGTATATAATTTTGAATAATTTATTACTCGAATTTATATATCCATTTATGTCTTAATCCATTGAGCAACCAAATAGATACTTTAAACAACATCTGCAGTATTAGCTATAATTGTCTTCTTTTGTAATTTATTGTAAAAATATACAATTATTGTAATTGTTTACAGGTGTCGGTACTCATTTTATTTATGGAATTAGTGTTAACGTTGTTAATATTGATTGAGTTGTGGCAGCTGTTGGAGGATATTGTTTGATGGCGCATGCATTGAAGGTTTCGAAATAAGAAAGGCCTGTTAGGAACTGCGGAAATGGAATACCTCTCTTCCTTTAAGAATTGGTTGATGGACAAAAGTAGGTTAGTGAGTTTATGATTGGCCTAGTGTTGATGGCTGGATGAATAATGAGTAGCTGACTGTACGTAATATACTCGTTAATGAGATGATGGACCGATTGTCTTATATTGTTTCCTCTAACAAATAACCATTTTGCATCCATAATTTTCCAATAAATGTACGTATGAAATAATTCTTTACAGATTAGACCAAGATATATTTAAGTACAGTTTCTTACTTTAAATTTGTTCAACATTTGTAAATCTATTAAAACGTCGAGTCTTCGACTGGTCGTACTTATCAAACTGCTCATTTTCTTTAAATTTCCTCATAAAAAGTGATTTCACCTCCCTGCCCTGAATCGAGGCTTACTGAGGCGTGGCATGTTAGTAATGGCGTTTAGTAACGGCCTATTATTAAGATAAAGTTTAGTCAGAATTACCTTATCACACCAATTGACCAATCAATGTCTTTATAAATATAGACAGCAAACGCATCATTGTTAACACCATTCGCCAGAAAGAGTTGGAATGTATTTTTCTAAAAATTTAATCGCAAAGTGAAGTTTTAAATAGATGCGACTTGTATAGGAATGACATAAAACCACCGGAATGTCCGAATTGAATTTTCGAATTTTTCATAGGGTAAAATTACCCACAAAAAAGAACACGCGGAGGGAGATGGCATACGTGCTAAACACAGACAACAGCCAACAGGTCGGCGGTAAATTGGTGAATCGAGGAAACGGTCCGTCTAACCTCTAATTGATCGTCAGCACAACCGGAAAATTTGCTGTCGCTGTGCAGAGATATTGCTGGCGCACGTGACTTTTTTATTTTGGATTGATTGAAAATTCAGGCTTACATAGCTAGGAGTTGGCTTTTGTGCTTTTCGAATATCCATTTTCATTCGCGGATTACCGCAACTAGTGTTGGTTTCATGGGTGCCAAAATCGACATAAACGTAAACCGGTAACCAACAGCTATAAAAAATAGCTTTTCAAAAATGTAAACTTTATTCAGTGAAAAGAACGAGGGTAAATAAACATGCTACTCCGTGATGGTGATTTCGAAGCAACTTTGCCACATACTGTATATTTTAAAAAGTGGGATGATAAATCAAATGTTTCTTTTTGCAATCCCTAAAAGGTATGAAAATTATTTAAATGTTTAATGTACCCATGTTTATAATGCATGTTTTGAAAAAAGCCTCAGGCATGACTGCTGAATTAGCGTGTCAAATGTCTTCTTGTTTGTGCCAATATTAAAATATTCTATTGCTTATTGCTGTTCAAACAAGATATGCTATTCAATGAAAACGTAGAGTATAGTTTACTTTGTCTTTGTCTTGGCAAAAAGGTATAAAGATTAAACATGCAGGCATCCAAAAATATACAACAACCGCGAGCGTCTCGCTATCTCTTCGGAGTGGTGTCAAGTAACGAAGTAAATGCACTTCGTTACTGCACTTAGTGAATACTATTTTGGAGACGTCAGCATGCAACAAAGTAAACTTTTTCTGGAGTACTTTTACTTGGAACGAAGTCGTTTCAATAAGTAACGTTTTACTTTGTTATTTTAATTTTGTAGCGAAGTATTTCGTTACTTTCTAACTTTTGTTTAATTTTACATGATTTATTCTTGATTTATTTAAATTTTGAGATAGGTAATAGGACCTCTACATGCGTTTGGGATCTCTCATTAATGGCTTACTTATATGCATTACTTATTTAATGGATTTTTATATCTTCAACGGGGTCCAAAAAGTAGAGCATGCCGTGAAATATTGTATATTAGGTACATATAATGAGTGTGCTGTTTTGCGTCTTTTGCATGTCAATCCATTCGGGAAACGCATTTTACTTTGTACTTCCAGTAAATTTTAAGGATACTTTGTACTTTTTACTTAAGTATGTTTTGCCTCCATTATACTTTTTACTCTTACTCAAGTCGCTTTATTGTTAATTACTTCTACTTTTACTTTTACTTTTACTCGAGTATAAATTCAAAATAATTTAGGCACCACTGTTTCTTTGGTAAAGTCTTCAAGTTTCAATGGTAGTTTTGGTTAATCTGGCGCATGTGCAAGAAATTTCCCAGTTAATAAATCACGCAAATCCTTTGTGGCCAAATTAGGTGACGGAAAGTGCGGTTTTTTGGGGGTAAGGGCCCCCAGAAAAGCTGGAGAAACAACATCAGGGTGAGAGTAAGGGCCCTCACCGTTATGGACATTGAATCTCATGTCCGAGCCTGGCTTCCCCGTGGTGAAGTGACCGAGAGATGCGAAGATCAGGACGAGGGTAAGGGCCCCGCCCTTATGGACCTTGCTCTCTTTTGCCGGTGTGTGCTTCACCGTGGGCGAAGTGCGGCCGTGTGGACACCACTTTCCGTCCCGCTTTCTTTATTTCTTCTTGAATGTATACAAATATTTACAAGTTGATAAAACAGAACAATATAGATATGATTACAATTGATTCTTATATTTAATTAAGTTCTATAGTTCCTGTTTATTGGATGCTTCTTCTTCATCAAAGGGTTGGGTGGGTGGGATTTTCCTTTTATGTTGTCTCGAAGACCGTTGAAACCAGAGTGAACTGAGATAAAAATTTGGCTAGCTTTTGCTGATAACTGAAGAATGTCGGCTTAGTAAAATGGGATTATATTGGCAATTTGGCATTGACACTTAGCAAGGCGGTTGTTTTCTTTGCTTATCGTTTCCGTTTAGGTTGCATAGTTTTCGGTATGGATGTTGCCTCTTATTAATCCTAATTTATTTTTTTAAATAAATTGCTCCTTAATAAATCACGCAAATCCTTTGTGGCCAAATTGGATGACGGAAAGTGCCGTTTTTGGGGGGTAAGGGCCCCCAGAAAAGCTGGAGAAACAACATCAGGGTGAGAGTAAGGGCCCTCACCGTTATGGACATTGAATCTCATGTCTGAGCCTGGCTTCCCCGTGGTGAAGTGACCGAGAGATGCGAAGATCAGGACGAGGGTAATGGCCCCCGCCGTTATGGACCTTGCTCTCTTTTGCCGGTGTGTGCTTCACCGTGGGCGAAGTGTGGCCGTGTGGACACCACTTTCCGCCATTGATCGAAACAAAGTGTAGATCCCCCACGTGAAGCATGTTGGTCGGGAAAAAATTATAAATAGTTAATATGAAGTATTTATAGTATGGTACAGATGTGTGTTTTATAGTATGTAATGATGGCGTGCTGCGCAAATAAGATATATGGTGTCCACGAGATACAAACACTTATACTACGGCTGGATAATCAGGGAGGCCAGGAAAAAACCTGCAGTACAGGAAAACCTGGGTAGGGCCAAGACCACCAGCAGCTCCCCACATAGCTTTATCTTTACAAAATTAAGGAACGTCAGTATCGCGCTAGACACCACTGAGCTATTCGGTTAACGTATGCGTTATTTGTTTATTGTTTTTGGTTTGTTTTCTTTTTCTTTTCTTTTGTTATGAAACTACACTTTGAGCATAAATAAGGGAACTAAACGATCAGAATTAATTTGTCGCAATCCAAAGCAGAACGCCACCGCACAGTAGACAATACGTATATAGGTAATAAAATGTAGATTATGTCATAAATAGTTCATGTATACGTAGAGAGTTCATAGCCATTAGGACGTAGGCGTGATCCAGATAGATGATGGAAGGCGGAAACCAAGATGGCGCAAATCCTGAGATCTTCTTCATGTCCTTCCTTCGTTTGTAACAGAATGACTAAAAGAGAGACAGAGAAAAGCAAAAACTGCTCTGTGTAATCATGAGCTGGCCGATAATAGTTGTCGCAATGCGCGATGAATAAATTTGTAGTGGAACTACCCCTTAATTTGGCTTTGTCTCGGCGTGTGATACTGTAGTGAACTGTGAAGTATGTTTAGTTCGAATTGCATGTGGGGTGTGTGCGCGATGGCATAAAACAGGAAATCATCTCGGAAATAACAGTGTATAGTATTAGGAATTGTCTTGATCTGGTGAAATATGCCGTAAACCTTTTCGTTTTGGTACGCTATACAAGTACCTACTATATGTACAGTACTGGGTTTTGTAAAACGCCATGCGAATGCAGGACATATTGCAGGTGATCATGATGTCATGCTGTAGTATTTGAATTATTGTAGCGCTTGTCATTTGATTTGTGGTATAAAATGCGAAGATCGCTGTTGACATATTTTGTGAGACTGAGGTTTTTGTACAGGAGAATATATATGTTGTATTTTACAGTTATATGACGTCATGACGTGCAGGCAATTTTGATGCTTTCTATATATTTACTATTAAATTTTCGAAATCTCGGCCGCGCAATTTCCAATCTTTCCAGAGAGAAATATGCGGAAACCCATGAAAGCGGAATGTCAGTAATAAAATCGTCTAACCCAGCTGCATAAACCTCCGCCAGCGAATTGAGGCTTCATGTGCTCTGCCGCGTCCAAATACCGAGTGTAGCAGGAAATGTTTCCTCTACAGTGGGGTTAATTAAAATCTGTAATGAGCATTCCTGAACGAGTGAGAAACCGACGATCTTTAAATTCTTTCACTAGCAGTATTTCCTCTGCCAGTTTGTAATTTTATACCTTTATATATAGTCTACACAGGAGTTTGGGATTTTGCGTTGTGCAATCTTTTGTAGGCAGTCTTTGGCTAATGGATTTCTTGGGTCTTCACCGGGTTTGGAGAGTAGACCATATAGCGAGATATTGTATAGTAAGGGCATAATGTATGTATAATGCGTGTGCATGGTGTTCTGTATATCTTGGATAACAATCCATACGCGCGTGTCGTGCATAGATATCTAGTGTATATAAAATATCTATGACTATGGAGTATGGTGTCGTGGCTGAAGTTATGTGGTTGTTTACTCGTTTGTAAATTTATTCTTGATTGAGATATATGATTATAGGTGACATACACTACTCACAGACACAGTAGTTGGTGCAGTACATGTATATATATTATAACCTAGAGATGTATGTATAGCGTCATATTGTTTGCTATGCATGCTTCAAATTGGCTTGTAGCTGGCTAGCGCTACAGTTTAAGGGTATCTTAAATCGAGTTACAGAGTAATGAAGTCTATTTACCTCTTCGGTATCAGGCAAATGATATCAGTACAATCTTACAAATGTGGTTCATGGGGAAAACAAAACAAAACATGGATATGCCTCACCGCAAGGAGTTAGATTATAAGATGAGAGTATTCTGCGAGACTGCCACAGACTGGCATAATTTGACTGGCCATATCGAGGAATGAGCGCAAATGTAGCTGCTTTCAAGCAAAATATGTTACGTACGCGGGTAATGACATTAATATGAGCATATACTGTACATATAGCTATATACTATAAAATTGTGGTCGATGAACGCAGAAGCATGTGGCATGTATCTAACTGCCTAAAGTGTGTTTTGGGTATAATTTCAGACTATAGCGTGTAGTTTACGTATAGGACGACTCTGTTTATGCCTGTAGCCAAATGTTTCATCATGAAAGCAGGGTATTTTGTTGATGAAGTGGACATTATACTTGTAAATGACAAACATATATGGGTATTATATTGTATATATAAAATTATCGTCCTGACACCAACTAACACATGTTGACCCTGCATGGGCTTAGGCCTGCGTTTTCATATCATTCATAACTGCCTCGTGAGAGCAAAGTCGCGCAATATAGCTAGTATATGTTGGTAAACTAAATGCGGGTAACGAAAAGCCGAACAGTTCATGGAATGTACTCGAACTGCGCACGTAGTATGGCTCCAAAAACGTTCTACCATGGACGAACATTGGTAGGTTTATGCTGTTCGTAGCAACTTTAGTGGATAACATAACGCGCTTAAGTATAATGACAATATGAAACGCACTCACCGGTTTAAAGTGGATCAGATGTGGATAGAAAGCAGCCGTTTTCCAGGTTCTGAACGTCGGGACTTGGAAGCTTCGATTTATCCGAGAAAAATGTATACCACGGGCATTTTCGTGTACGGAAAATTTTCCTTTTATGTTGTCTCGAAGACCGTTGAAACCAGAGTGAACTGAGATAAAAATTTGGCTAGCTTTTGCTGATAACTGAAGAATGTCGGCTTAGTAAAATGGGATTATATTGGCAATTTGGCATTGACACTTAGCAAGGCGGTTGTTTTCTTTGCTTATCGTTTCCGTTTAGGTTGCATAGTTTTCGGTATGGATGTTGCCTCTTATTAATCCTAATTTATTTTTTAAAATAAATTGCTCCTTCTTGATCGTCGGTAAAAATTTTAGCATGAATGTAAAGCTTGGTTAATACGAGCAAGAAAATTGCTTCAAAGTTCGTGTTACTGTAGAAATGTTGACAAATGTTGTGATCGTGATTGGTAATGTATATGTAAACATTTAAATTAAGATACGTTAAAATCTGATTTTGTTGCAAGTTGCAAAAATTTTGTTGCCCGTATTACTCCATCTTAAGGTGGCTCCTTAGGGTTTTTTTAATTTACTACAGTATAGTATTCAGCAGACTCCAGTTTCTTCACTTTAGATGACATGAAGACGAAATTTATTGGACACATTGTCAATATTCCCCTGAACATTGCAAATTGCTACTTTTGTGTTAAAAATATGTTGTCATGTCGTGACATTTTAAAAATTCCCTTCGGGGAAATTTTTTAAAACTTTCCATAAAAGATAATACTTTCTTCACTTGCAATTACTGGTTATGACTTCTTGGTATTAATTTGAAAAATGTTTGTCAAAATTCGTCCCGTGCGAATTAGTACTATATGGATGTTTTTACAAAATGCCCGTTCAAATTTCAGTTTTTATAGTGGTATATTTGGAGTTTCGGCCCTTCTCATTTCACCCGTAGAAATAGCTCATTATTTAAAGTGCTACTGCAGCGAATTTTTGGACCTAGTTTTTTTTAGCTTAAATAAAAATTCAGTCTTTTAGAAGCATTTTCATATATATTTGACCATCATGCCATGCTTAGAAGTTGCCAAATTTAACCTCTGAAGTTGGTTATCGCGTGCGAACTTTTCCGTCGCCATATTGATGCCGTGTGACGTCATAAGATGAACGGAAACGAGGATATGAAGGTCGTATTTGTAGTAAATTATATGGCGCGTCAACATATTGCAATGGAATTTTTGTCTATTTCACTTGTTTATGGCGCAGATAACTGATTTTTAAAAATCGAAGAACAAGTGCTATATCTTATTGTTTATTTGACGGCGAAATGACGGTTAGAGATTCAGATAATAGGGTCAGTACTACATCTGGAAGTCAACGAATCCATACTCGGCTAAGTCGGCTTTGAAATACGATGATGAACCAGTTGCCTAACAGCTTTTATACAGCTTCACTAGATAGAGAAATTATATAACGCCGCTGCAGATAGGCAACTACCATCTATGACTGTGTTGGAGAAATCAAGCGATGGAACAATACCTGTAAAATTTAATAGTGGTAAGTAGACCTTTTTATTGCATGTATATTTATACTGTATTGTGCTCGCCTCGGTATTGTGTCGGATTGTTTGAACACATCTGGTGTGTGTAACTTAATATTTATTATAAACTGGATTGTGCATGACAAAAAATATAATAACGTTTATAAACACAAGCATATTCATAGCCTAATAGTAATAATTCGCAATACTCAAAATGATTTTGATTTTGATTTTGTTTTTAATAGATAGCGATAGGCAATTACGGGCTGTGGTTCTATTGATGGCTATAGTTTTACTTGGATGGGAAAACAGAAGAAAATAATTTCCAACAACAAAGACACAGCTGCCTTACGTTTGAGCAGAAAAGCGGGCGACTTTAGTTGGATTGTGACTGAGTCAGTTAACCATTGAGTCAAAATTGTGCCACTGTGCAATATCACATATACTGTAATATTTTGAAATTATATTAATCTTCAAAGTAACCAGTTAAGTTGCATCCCTCATGTTTTGTGCACAAATATATTTCTCACATAACAGCGTACCAGTGCAATATTATACTATTGTATTATATATTATATTTATTGTTACTTTATACTATGCAATATGTATTATTGATATGACTGAATATAACTCCAATGGCATCGTTTCTCTCAAAATGTCATCAGAAGTCTTGACGAAACTAGGTCAAGGCATGCTGAATTGTTGTCTTTATTTCAATTTCAAGATTGACAAGATGCTCTGGACAAGAAACTAACTTAACAGGAGATAGTCTTTTTACAACCACAAATCATCTAAAACATAAGAAATGTTAAACACTTTAGACTAACTATATAGCATCATTTGCGCAAAATATTCACCATGTGTGCGAACATATTAATTTGTACTTCACTATATACCTGAATTATTTGCCTTGCGTCTGTTAGTTGTAAAGCCAGGGGAATAATTCTAGCCATGTGAATTGTATAAACAGTTTCTTCCTTCAGTATTCTTTCCATTTTACGAGGTTTTGTTAATGAAAATAAGATATAGCACGCATCTTGAAAACGGGCTCAATCAAAACACTAGGTTCGCAGATGCGTGAAAACCCGCGGTCAATGTTTACGGATAAAATTCACTGACTTTCTTCCACTCTGTGGATCTGTTTCTTTGTTGGGAAGTAGATGCATGGGTATTCCTTCAGGCTGTTCAGAATTCGTGCAATAATCTAAGTTAGAACTGCCAGAAACACGGCCTTTGTATCCGTGTTTGTTGGTTTTACTATATTTTTAATACGCCATGATGAAATCGTGTTCATCTTATGACGTCACATGGCATCAACATGGCCGATCAAAAGTTCGCACAGGAAGTGCCAAAAATGGCCACTTTGGAAGGCTATAAAATCGGTTTGAATTGACCAATTTCAATTCTGTTTGTGGTGAACAGGTCAGGAAGGAAAGTACTTTTAATTAAGCTAAAAAAATGAGGGTCGAAAAATTCGCTGCAGTAGCACTTTAAGTCATCTTTATTGTCATAAGTGCTGTTAGATTGTAGAGAAAACACTGCAAATTCTTGAGGAAACTTTATATCGTGTCCCAATGTTTGCGGTCGAACCTCACGTACGGCGTCACGGCGGTTCAAGAAAACTTCCAGAATACCGCTTGAAAAAAACAAATTTACATTATCTTCTTTTGAAACATCACATCCAAGTATTTTTGGGGGCTTTTAGAACTCTTTTTATGCTTTCAACTAAAGCAAAGCTCACACTTTTGTTTCAAAAAAGATTTCTATATAAAACACAACGTTCATTCGTATTTTGAAGTCACATGAGTTTTAGATTACATATATACGAAGAACGTAACCCCCTGAAATAAAACCCTAGGGAGCCACCTTAATTAATTAAGCAATTCGTTAAATTGCTAATTGAACGCAAGGGGCTTTTTATGGACGTCATTGCAACGAAATCCCACAGGTGCATAAACTTCTGCTTCTGGAATTTAAAATAAAAAAGCAAACCGTTTATTAGTGTAATCGTTTTGCTTGACTTGGGCGTTAAAATATTTGGACACAAAGCGAAAACGTTTTAAAATGCTTAAATGTAAATACAAGTTGATTAAATTCCCAAACGTGTAATCACGCGCGTTTAAGAGCGGCTTAAGAACAATGAGATAATTTCTATAGTGTCACTTTTTTTTGGGACAGCCTGTACAGGGTGTCCCAAAAAAACGAAATCTATTGAAATCACTTATTGTTAAATTTGAATGCCCTACCAAACATCTGGACGTAACGATGCGTAAAATATTGACAAGGTGCATGTATTAGAATTTAGTTAGGAATATCTCCTGGCAAAGTGCGCGATTTTCTGCTTCTGGGAATTAAAAACAGCTTCTTAAACAGTTTCTTTATGCATAAAATTTACTTATGTCAATCATTTATGCACTCGTGAGAACCAACAAAGCGCTAAGGCATTCAAATTCTAACAATTAAATTGTTATTGGTGATTTCAATAGTTTTCGGGTTTTTTGGGACACCCTGTATATACCTTTCTCGAAATCACATTTTTCTACCGTTGGGAATTGCACGTAAAACTATTTATTGTCTTAGTATTGAAATTATTCACATTTGGGATTTAAATTGAAGTCCCTTGTGTAAATATGGCGCAAACGCATGTGCAAGCATCAAGTTTATATTATCTAAATAAACTTTTACCTATACTCGCCTTTTTACATCAAAATTGAGTGACTACACATTTTACAACACTGGATGCTCATTCAGTAATTGCAAACTGGACTCACAATAACATACATTTCCCAAATGGGCACCAAACATTTGGCTGTAAATGTTCGAAAAATGGAAGGAATCTCGAAGGTGGAAAACGGCGCATTATAGCAAAATTCTGTAAAAGCGAGGGGTGTCATTTAAAAGCTAAAAGCCTGTTTAACCTCTAAAGCCTGGTATGGATATGCCCATGGTATGCTTGCATGCGGTATGCCTGCACTATTATTGTTTATATACAACGGTTGTGCGTACATTGTGATTGAATTATTTGGTTGAACTGCTTTTACTGCTTAACGACAATATAGCCGCCGACATACCCGCAGGTATATTTGAGTACAGTGTGTACCAGGCTTAACTTTAAAATTAAAGGTAGTAAATCGCTATAATGTTATCATTTTACTGAAACTATCAATAAGAATTGGGAGATATTGCTTCATTAAATCGAATGATTGTTCTCTTGTCTTCATAGTATGCACTGAAACCAAAGATGCGACAATGCGAATCTTCAAAGTCGTTAGCATAAAGACCAGGGGCCGGTTGTATAAAACTCTTGATCACTTTTTTAATCACTATTTTGTAGTTAAATAGTGATTAACTATCAAATACGCGCTTCTTATTGGATGACGTTTCCACTAACTATAGTTAACTTTAATCACTTTTTTATACAACCGGCCCCAGGACGATACTGTCCTGGTCTAATTATGGGCAAACAAAAAAGAGTTTAATGAATAATTCAGTTCACTTACCCCACCATAAGTAACATCCCCAGGTTGTTTCGGTCGCAAATCCACCCAGGTTATGACCGTTACCCAAAACGGATTGTACCCTGATTCGCTTAATATTGTTCTGCCAAAGTCCCTAGCCTTGGTAAACACGCCACGAAAGTCGTTATTTGAATCTTCGTATTTACGATAAAACACCTTTGATTGTCCACTTTGAAAGTAGTCTAAGTTAACAAATGACCAGTATGGTGCAAGACAAGCAGAATCACTAGACTGCCCCCTATAGGTACCAAAATTCCGAGGATTTACTTCGTAAATGCGCGACTCAAATTTTACTAATCCATTCGCGCATACCTGAAAAATAAAGTGCATATAAGTTCCTGGAATTGGACAGCATGCAATTGTACGCATCGATTACCGATTAAATTGACACTTGGCATAATGGATATATATATATATATATATATATGACTGCATGTGTAACCTATTGTATGGTGTTGTATGACAATTGCATCCCTAGTTACTTTTTCAGTTCCCAAGCTTTTTCTTTCATCGGTCATTTTTTACTTCTACTTTAATATGCTCAGCATAGAAAAACTTTAAAAAATTTAGTGTTCCCTTGCTATATATATGTAAATAATTAGACCATACTAAGGTTAAATATATGCTTTAAAAAAATATGGGATCCAGAAAAAAAAAATTAGCCTTTGATGGAGATCTAAATCATCTGCACAGTGATGTATCTGAAGGATAGGGGATACTGCATGGCCTGCTACACAGAATTAAAATAATCGTTAGATTTGCCTATTAATAGTAATCCCTAATTTGTTGCGGTTTCGGGATAGACGAAGCAGTATTGGTCGGGATTGCTTTACTCCTTGCTATAGCCCATTGCTCCTGTTCAGAAAATCGTGCACTGGGTAAAGAAAGCACCAAATTTTGGATAGTGCAATAGCACTTCATGTGACAATTACATTTAGATATATTGGCATTTCAGAGTTGCTAATGGTTCCGACAAAACAACAATAAATTTCTATATTTAAAAAAGGTAAAGACTTAAGTTCACTAGATATAGATATTAGGCTATACCTATATCATTTTACGAAGCGTTTACTGTCGTTCCAATATAATTGAAGTGTTGCTCAAATATTGATTCAATACATTACCTCGGGCTGATTAATTCATTTGATCAAGTTCCTCGAGATATTCATACACTTCCTGTGAAAGAGCCAATTCCAAGTATTTGATCATTTCTGGTCACTTCCTTTCTATTTATGATTGGTTAGTTGCACAAACAACAAAGGTGATTGGTGCATTCAAACTATTCAACAGGAAGTTTACAATTATACTAGGAAGTGTATGAATATCTCGAGGAACTTGATCAAATGAATTGGTCAGCCCGAGGTAATGTATTGAATCAATATTTGAGCAACACTTCAATTGGAAAGACAGTAAAGATTAAATTTTACATTAAATCCGCAAAGCTCATATTGTTGTATAGTTAAAAGTATTAACCTTTCAACTAGTTCGCGTTAATTTTTGCCGTTTTGTAAAAAAATATTTAAAAAGAAAAATATCGTGTTGTTACAGCAACACATCATGCACGCCACAACGCGATCTTGCGTTCAATGTTGGCCAATTAATAATACTTCGTGTTAAATGAACGTTTGCTTGTCAGTCTTCTAAACGTTCTCAACCATATCACTTTTCCCGATTTTATTATAAGCATGTCATAAACATTAAGCTAAGAAAGTTTCAGCAAAATCTCAGCAGGAATTGAGTATTGAGGAATTAACTTTTAAAACATCTTACAATATTTGTTCCCAAATCAGTAACAAATAAAACTGTGTGCTTGTTCTTACATAAGCTCTTGTGAAGTCTTTTCCTTTAAAATTGAATCCAATCGAGGGCAGATTCAGCAATACACAGTCAGCTGTTTTCCGTCTAACTGTTCCTATTCCTATTCCTGTCCCTGAACCTTCGACTATTTGAAAATTGAGCTCGCTGTCGCTAGTGTAATCAATTAACCGATCTGTAACAAAAGAACGAGCAGTTATCGTATACTGGTTATATTGTAGATGTAATAAAACTTGAGGGTATCGTGGGCTTTTCGATTATTTAATATTGCGGTATTTTAAACAATTTACAAAGAAAATTAAATCAAAACGCAACTTCCAAAGAAAGAAAATTACTCCAATGTGGGCACTTACCATTTCCCAGATTTGATTCTGCGCTTCCCTCAAACTCTCCATTCTGACCTATAAAGAAAACAGTACCTTTTTTGTTCATACCATGCGTATATGCACTACATTTAATATCATTATATGATTTGTATCTTGCATTATACAATATTAGCAGACAGGAGGTGCGCTGTACTTAATTTAAAGAACACCGCGGAAAAACGTCTGCGCATGCGTCAACCTTACCTGTAATAGTATTGCGAACTTGATGAGAAGCTGTTCCGAACGTTTCCGAAGGCTCAAAATGGCGGTAAAAAGGAGTGACTTCATTGCGCGTCTTTACAGCCAGATTTCAAGCGCAAAAATAAACATGTCATTCTAAAAACTAGAAATAAATACAGCCAGAAGGTTCAAGAAATTGTATTGTACAAGAACATGAACTAAAGGTGATTGTTGACAAATTTATCGTCTGAAACATTTTGTTTATCAACTAAGCAATGACAGTTTCCGAATTTTCGTTTGAGATACATTTCTTTAAAAAAAACTGTGTCGCCAAATATAAAAAATTTGCGTGTTCACAATAATTAAACTTTAGGTAAAATTTGAGTGGGTTAAGAAGCTTAACTTTTCGAGAGTTTTCTTAACTTTTTAATTTGAATTTTTGTTTTGAATAATTTTGCAAAAATTTTCGAAGTCGTGTCCGTTAAAATCAACATTTTTCACATGAATTATATTTCATTCCACACTTTAAATGCCAGGACGCTTTCAATTAATGTCTAGTCTACCCATTTGCTATATTTTCTCGTTTGTTTTACTAATTTTTGACCAATTAATAAGCATGTTTTTGTTTTAGAAATTGATATTCAAATTCCCCGCCATATTTTCATAATTTGGTGCATGCGCAGACGTTTTTCCGCGGTGTTAATTTAAAGATGATGTCCACTCCGCTCTGCGCATCAGTTCTGCTCATAACAAAGGGGGACCCCCAGATATAAACATTGCCCAAATTTTGCATCTTTCTAACTTTTTTGAATTGAAACATAGAGTTTATATTCATTTACAAGCATAGCGAACCAGTGTGTTAGATATTCAATTGGTATATCATATTTTACAAATACAGCAGTTCAAAACGTAAAGAAAGTTCGCACATGCGCACACGAGTGGACATCATCTTTAAGGCACAAAATGGACAAAAATGTTGAACTTATAAAGTATATCAATTAAAACATCCTTCCCAAAAATGTTCGATCTTGGCTATTGAGCCTCGTTTTTCTGATTCAGACATAGGATTTAGAGCCTTGTTACAGTTCACACATTTACTAAACCAAACCATACAGTATATAGGCTAATAGTGATATAATTCATGTAACAAGCTAGATAAAGGGCTCTTATATTTCAATGTCTCAAACACGAGATTGTATAATATAGCCACGGCTAATTACCTTCCGGAAGAGTTTATTGTATTATAAAAATTATTTTTCCATGAGCTAGTGCTTGTTACAATTTGACATTTTCGCCGTTTATTGTTATGGAGTACGTTTAGTCATACATACATGTTGCACGACCTGCGATTAGGTCGTTCGGTATTGGTGGCCTAGTGCATGTTGCATGACCTCTCTACATGCATGTTGCATGATCTCTGATTAGCTTAATTACGAATCGAAAGCTTTAAATTCCTAAATGCCGGTCAAAATTCTTAATAAAACATACAATCAGTACTCTATGCTATTTACGTTAAATACGACACATTCCTTGTGGAGAGTTGGGGTGTTTCGGATATTTGATGCAGGTTCAAAGTGATAAACCAAACTAAAACTACGATCTTTACAGTTATAATTGAGGCAACACTTATGCCGCCATTCACGACGGAGTAGTATGGACTAGAATCCATCGGACCACTATAGGTTTATCGCAGGTCATGGAAGAAAGGTTGTAGTCTGTGTGGCGAAAGTAAGGAAAATGTTGTAGATTTGTTGGCTTTTTGTTAGGTTTGCTTGGTTTCGCAGTAATAAAGCATGATGACTGTGCAAGAGCTATTTATATAACATAGCCTGTTGGGATCTAGGATTGTTAACAAATTAAAGTTACATCGTTGGTAGGAAAAATCCAGGTGTATCATCGATAGTAGAAAATGACGAGTGGGTTATACTGCGGGATCATATGACCGATCATTGGAATTTACCATGAGACCAGATAGATACTGTTTGGGAGCAAACAACAATGGAGGGGACCATAGTAATAGGCATTTGCTTTATCAAAATCTGCGATGGCAGCTGGATGAAGAAAGAGTTACTGTAAATATTTAATATTAGGGAAATCAGTGAGCTACGATGATGACGTAAATAGAAGGATACATGTGGTATAGCTGGAGTGACTGGGATTGGTGGCAAAAATTTTGAAGATGCAGTACAAAATGGACAACAATTTTGCACTTATGTATAAAATATATCAAAACACCATTCCGAAAAGTGCTCAATCTTGACTATATTGGGCTTCGTTTTCGTGATTCAGATATTGGGTTTAGAGCTCTTTACCTTGTTACAGTTGACACATTTACTAATAAAACCATTTATAATATAGCATTTGTAAATTCTGAACGCTGATTGGCTAAGAGCCGTGTTGATATAACTCGATGTCAACACGGGAAATTTTCCGCCGCTTGTAAACACGGAAATTTTTCTTATCCTTCGGGCTATATTATAAAAAAAATATAAAACATTTTTT